GCTTCTCTCCACAGTTCATCATCCCTATCCTATCGTCGGAGGACAGCCGCGTAAAAACAAAGCCACGCACGCGCTCGTGCGCGCTTTCGGCTCGCGCGCGGTTTTACTACAATCTGGACTCTCCGCGAATGCCCTTTAACCTCGTGCATCTCTATTGTTTCTCTGTTTATCGGATGGACTTTCTCGTTTCCCCCCTATTTCCCACTCCATTCCATTTCCTAGCCGTTCGCTCATTCGTTTCCTCTTTTTTTTTCTATTTTTGTTTTGCAAACGTACCGATTGTCGTAAAGCCTTCACCGGTGCTCGGACCCGTTGGCCAAACGCAACGGAACGGCGCGCAACGCGCGGCGCAAGTCGAAGAGATCACAGTCGCGTCAATCACAATTACAAAGATATCTTCGACCTACGCGCGACGGTTTCACACCGTGAAGGTTTCTTCCTTCTTCCCTTTCTACTCTCCGCTCTTCGGCTTCTCTCTTTCTTTTCTTTTCCTTCTCCGTCTTCTTCTGTCTTCTCTTCTTCGGCTTCTTCTTCATCTTCCCTGTGTGATGTGTTATTGGACATCTCGTAACTCCGGCTCAGAGTACTCGACTGATTTAGTTATATGCTTTTGTTTGTTTTTTTTTTCTTTCGGCGATAGAATCCAGGAACCACGTGGACTGCTTAGATCAGCCTTGGAACATGCCGAGAAAATGCAAATTCTGCGACAACGGAGACAGCAGCGTATCGACAACCGAGATAAGGTAGAGGATAAGAGGTGGCCTTTTCAGTTTGTGTCAGTAGTGCAAACTGTCGATCTCCTTGATTTCATTGCTACCATCGGCGTTCGCGGTGTACCCAAACTCCATGCTGTAGCCGTAGTGCAGCGTATCGTACTCGAGGACCAACCGCTTGATGTGGCTCAGCTTCTCGTGCAGATAATGGAACCGACGTTTCATCTCCCTGTGTATAGGGTCCCGTTTCGTCTCGTTATAATCGCTTAAAATTTGCTGTTTTATTTCCTGCAACAACGAAACGAACGTAAACGTTAATTAATGTCATCTCGTACACCTAACTTTGGTTCAGTAAAGAATCTTCTACCAGTCAGAACGTGGAATTCGAATGAAACAACAAGCTTCTAGTTCTGGATTTTTCTGATTTACACGAATTTTTAGGTGACAAAAGATGGACAGTTTCTTTTTTTAACGTTTCGACTTGTTGCGTCAAGGTTATATTTGCAAGAAAAATTCAACAGTAGTTAACTTTGAGTTTATCTACCTGGTAAACTTAAGTCTATGATTATTGTACAGCTTCACTTCTCTGCTAAGACAATGATCTTACTCTGATCTTGGTACGATAATGCGTTAACTGTTAACTTCTGTTGTTCTTAGTTTCTAAAATCGGTGAAAACACTCGTGCGGACTACGCAGTTTTGCTACTTTCACTTTGTGTCTACATCGAAGTTTGCTAGATTGCGAAAGGATTCTGAGTGCTAGTCAGCAGAGATGCGCTACCTGATATTCGTACATGTTGCCATTTCTTTGTTCTTGCTTCAACCGTTCCTCAAGTTGCGTGAATCGTTCCGACACCTTTGCTACTTGTGTGTGCAACTTTCGATATTCCTCGTAATCAGCAGTGAACTCGTCCTTGTAACGTCTTCTCTGTTCCTCGCTGCTTATTGTCGTGTAGGATCTGCAAGTAAAATATAATACGTCAGTATAACAAGTATAAAGACAAACGCATCTGTTCAAATAATTTTTTCTGGCTTTTAGATGGTTCATCGAGATAGGTTTAATCGACTGTAAAAACTTAGTCTCGTCTTCAGACATTTCTAATAAAAAATGTATACATGCTTATGAGAGATGAAATATAAGTTTTTACATATTATAAGATTTTGGAGATTGTAATTTCGAACTGGTTTTCTCAAACCAATATTTGAACACGTGTTACATCATTAATATGGCTTCTATGCAGCTACCGAGGCAGCAACCAATTCTTAGAACTTTCTTTATAAAAAAAGATTCCAAAAAAGCAATATTTTTAATAAAAATGACATAGGGATACGAATAGAAAAATAAAAAAGCTTTTAATTGACATCAATTCCATTAAAAGATCCTTTCAAAGACAGCAGTACAATAGAACCTCGATTATCAAAATCTCCCATAGCTGAATTCTAGTATCCGAATTTAGTACCGTACCAAAGCAAACGTTTCAAATAAACATGAATGTTTTCATGATCAGTTCGATTGTATATAGAGGTTCCAGAGAGTACGTGCAGGGTGTCTGGTGGGAATAGAATGGTATGTCCGAATCCGAGACCCGGTAATTACATCGTCGAGCAAAGAGTCGAGGATTGAACGCCGGGTATCGGTTACGTTCTCTAATATCGAGAGGGATACTCACGTGAGGTAGTCCGGGTACTCCAATGGTTTGGGGCTCTCCGGCAGGTCGAGATTGCAGGTGGAGGTGGTGACAGTGGTGTCCTCGTTGGCAGCGTAATCAAGACTAGCCAGGTCGTTGTAGGATGAGTTGGTAGCGTTGCCGGTGTTTCTCTTCTTGGAGTCCCGGTCCTTGTCGCCGCCTCGTCCCCTGTCGTGCCTCTCGTTCCTCTCCCTCCTGTCGTTCCATTCGCCCCTGTCGCTCCTGTCTCTCCTGTCTGTGCCGTTCGAACTACCACTGTAACTACTAGCTGCACTACCACCGTCATTCACGGCACTTGAACGCGGCACGTAATCCACCGTCGCCACCCCGTTGCCAACAGCACCGGCCGCCGCCGCCGCCACCGCCGTCTTCCCGGCGGCATGGTAGTGACGGCTGCTGCCGCTCAACGAATTACTATGGGCTACACTACTATGAGAATTATGGCTGGTGGCTGAGTTGCTGCCGGCGTTGAACCCGTGCGACGTGGACCCGGCGCTCGCGACGACCACGTTGTCCCGATGACTGGTCCGGTTGTTCTCCTCACTGTCACTGGTCGGCGTCAAGAACGGTTTACTGGCTGGATAGCTGCCACCACGTAGCACATCACTGTTCGCTGTTCTTTCCGGCCGGTAATCGCCGCGACGATCATGCAGACGCTGCCTCTGGTCCCAAATGTCAACACCGCTGCCACCACCACTGCCACTAGCACTACTACCACCACCGGCTCCACCGCCGGGGACTCCACTGACACTGTTACTATTATTACTGCCACCACTACTAGCCGTCCTTCTGTTCTCCACGGCGGTCGCCGAGCCGGTGCTCGGCTCGGGTTTCTTGCAGCGTGACACCCGTTGCTTCTTCGTCGGCAGACCGTCGTTACCCTGATAGTAGCCGGGCCGTTTCGCGCCCAGTGGCGGAGGCGGAGCCGTGATCGCCGGCGGGGAACCTGGATGAGTGGAATTCGGCGATTGTCCGCTACCTGGAATCGTTTCATACGGTATTAGATAACTGGCAACTTACAGAAAGCGGGTAAAAAAATAACGACGCGTGGGTTCATTCGGTTCAGCGACTTTTTAACGCTAAACCTACCGCGGTCGAAGCGACCGCTTTCTCATTTTGCAATTCTGCAAAGTTCCGAGACTATTTTGTCGAAAACGCTTGAATAAGTTATATCATTGGAGCAAGTTTTATAATAAAAAGTTTACAAATTCTAAATAAATTCGGTCTTCTCACTTTTGCGAAGCAGTGCATGCCAGTTAGTATTACTGTTTGGTAGGTTTATTGTTAACGCTAGATTTACGGAGCATGGAAGACAGCTGTTTCATATTAGTTTATAAAAGTAACAATTATTCGTAAGTAACGTTTATTCTGATTTTTAACAAGTGTTACACCGGTGATCATTTCGTGGTTTCTCAAAATCAATTGATCGCAGAACCTTTGCTAGGAACACCGTGAAAGCTAAATACCATATTCTATCGGTGCAAAAATTTTTTTTTTTTTATTTCAAGACGCAGTAGAATCGAGATGAAAGACGCAACGACCAGATTATCGGTACACCGATCATCGATCGCAATAAACGCGATTCGAATGGAAATTCTGTTGCTTCTTTAACGAGCTTCGAAAGTTTAAGAGTCGTACATCGACATTATTAACGCTAAACCTATCGCGGTCAAAGCGACCGCTTTCTTATTTTGCAATTCTGCAAAGTTCCGAGACTATTTCGTGGAGAACGCTTGAATAAGTTATATCATTGGAGCAAGTTTTATAATAAAAACTTTACAAATTCCAAATAAATTCGGTCTTCTCACTTTTGCGAAGCAGTACATGCCAGTTAGTATTACTGCTTGGTAGGTTTAGCGTTAAACGTATCTCTACGGATCTCATTGTCTGGATTCGTGAATCTCTTCGATACAGACATTCGGGCAGTTCCGACGCGTCAGAAATTAGGAAGCCGATGATCCTTTTAATTTGTTGCCGCACAAATTGATGCGATACAATTCAACTTTCCAATTTCAATTCGATCGAGCAAAACGCTTCAGTCTTATGCAATTGTTCACAGGTTGTCGGCGCGGCGGTCGAAGCGTTGAAATACTGAACCAAAATGAACCCAAGCTTTGCTATTTGAGGATTAATAGTTAGTAGGTTTGTATGCCAAGATCTTGCGCTGTGTCTTTCAGGAACTGAAAGTGAAATTTATGTAGATTCTAATAGAATCGAGTCGAAATTGTTTGCAAGCTTGAGAAATTGATTTAGGGCAGGATGTGGGAATGATGGGCCCTTACCGCTGGATCCACCGTCACTGGAGCCAGGAGGAGTAAGATTCTGAGGTTTCCTCCTCTTTAACATAGCCTTCTCCTGCTCGGTGTAGTAAAGCCAGTCTTCTTGGACATCGTTCCACACAAACCTCTGCAGATGGTACGTGTTGTCCCTCATGAACGCCACCTGCTTTAGAATAGTCGTCATGATGCTGCGCTCTCGTTCCTTTATACCCTCTAAAAAAAGAATTACAGATCAGACGAACCGCTCCAATTATTTCCACGATATTCTAACACAATTTCGGTGAATTTCTTACCTCTGTTTATGCGGTCATACAGCTCAGGTTTCTTGTACGGCCTCAAAGCAAGGAGGTGGATAAGCCTCTCCCTGTTGGATACAAGAAAAACAATCGTTATCAATACAACAGGTAAACGATGTGTGCTATCGCGCTCTTCTTATGTTGTGCCAAAAATGCGAAGAGCGCGATAGCGCTACTGTTTCTTTCTTTTTTTAATGCCAAGACTGCGGAGAGCGTAATAACGCTGCTCTAAATCACTAGAATTTCTGCTTATTACCAATTTTATTCACAAAATTAATTGAAACAAATTTACGTAAATAAGTGGTATTTTTTCATTTTTGTTGTTGCAAAGCGATACAAGTGAGTTTATTGTATGAAAAGTGTTTTACATTTCTTTCCCATACACGCGCAATTAGTGCCGCAGTTTTGGCATACGTCCGAAAAAATACGTCGGCAGCCAAACGGTTAATATGTAATAAATAATGTGCAATGTTAATTGAAATAGCAGCGCGAGTTTTGCTCGTAATTAATCAACTGCTGAACTTTTGGATGAACAAACGTGAAATCACGATTCTTATTCGGCGTCCAAACCGATTTACTACACGGTTGTGTCAAGGTTATTTGATAAATATATTATATAAAATATTATTTTTTTAATTATACATATAAAATAATTTAATTTTTTAAATTTAATTTAATTATATATTATATATATATTTTTTAAATTTAATTATATATAAAAAACTGAACTTTCAGCAATTCATCAATCACAGAGCAGCTTCTGATTCTACTTTTGATTCGTAATATGGATAATCTCTAATTCCTGCCCCCTCCCCCTCATGAGATTGTTCAACATTATTATTCTCAACGGCCAACAGAATACCGTTACATATTTGACGTATTCTTCATCGCGTGGTTGACATTACGTCAAGATATAGTATACGACGTCTAGCATCGTCGTCGTCATGGAACGCACCTCAATGGCCTGCGCATGACGTCGGAGCACTTCTTCTCCGGCGGATTCCGTACCGGCGGTGGATTATTACTAGCGGCTGGTTTGTAGGAGGAAGACGACAGTCTGGGCTGGCTGCCGAATGATGGAATGCTCGTCGATTCCCTATGCCTCGAGTTCGATAAAGACGGTATGGTCTTTCCGGTCGCTTTCACCTTCACCTTGCGCCCGATGTCCGGCCCATTCGCCTTGATGACCCTGGTGCTGCAGCGAAAGGAAAGGAACGATCAGCATTTTCGCAGACAACTTTCACGGCCTAGCCGAAACACGCGTTTCCCGATGAGCATACGAATAACGTTATTAGATAATGTTATTGTTATCGTATCGCGAGATTATCGTCGCGACGATAGTGTAAGAATGAAATTGCGAATTCTACGCTAAAACTATCGAGCGAGTCAAAGTGGTCGGGGGGGTTACAATTTTTCTGTTTAAATTGTCGAAATTATGAAGACTCTTTTTTTTGCAAGAAACGGGTTTTTAAGTAAATCGTTTCATTCGAGTCTATTAATACAGACGAATTTTTATCTACATAAATTTTTATTCAATCGGATATTTATTGGATAGCGTGGAATAACATTTTATTTGTTAGCTTCCTACTATCTCTTGCCCGTCATTCGAATAAAATTGGAGCAATTCTGATGCGTACGTAGACTAAATATAATATGTAATATATATAATAATATAATATTATATATAATATTATATTGATATATATATAATAATAATAATAATAAATAATAAATAATATAATATTATATATAAAATAATATATAATAATATATAATAATCATTTATAATAATAATAATAATAATAATAATAATAATAACAACAATATATAATAATCACTAAAATTGAAATAACTCGAACAATGATAAAGTGTACGGAGTGAACTTTACGCTGCAGTGTACATACGCGATCTCGAACAAAAAAAACGTTCCAATTTTTCAATCCAATAATTTATTCCCGAAACAACGATGCTTTTATCTATCGAAAACAAGATTAGTTGGCAAGCTAATTCGCACGTAACTCGAATCGGCGCGAGAAATGTGCTCGAAACGAAATAAAAAAGTTCCTGAATTTTCGCCCGGATGCCGTGGCCCCGTTTAAGCGTAAAACGTGCGGAAGGTGTGACGCCGAGTCAGCAGGCTCGAGACAGGACACCGCAAAGGGTTTCGTATCGCCGACAGCAATTCGACACCGTGACGTTAAACGAGACCGTCGCCGACGGCGGAGCGCGCGGGCGTTCCTCCACAACAACAATCCACCGAATCATCCTTTGCGGGGCAAAAGTGATTAATCGATCCCCCTTTGACGCAAGTAGCTGTCGACCACGGCGAAGCCAATTATCGCTTTTGTTGTTACACGCGCCATTACGTAACGGGTGCTAGCTGGATAATATCGTTACGCGACGTCCGCGGCTTAGGCCACGCCGGTCGGTGCAATGCTCTCCCGTGACGTCGCCGACGTCGTCGTCGACGACGACAGCAATACGGTAATGTCTTCCTAATCGACGCTCGGGTCGTCCACAAAAATGGACAATTTTGGAAGAGGAGCCTTGCGACTCGTTTTTATAGTCACCGATTGTCAACGATTATAAAAATGTGGCGCAAAGACGGGATAATCGTATCTCCTGTTCCCGAATTGCCCATTTTTTTTGTTATAAGTTGAAGATAAATTAGGGAGAATTCAGAAATTATCGAGAGAGATTATTAAATATAATAATATTATATTATTATATATTATATTATATTATAATATTATATTATAATATATATATAATATGTATAATATATATAATATATTATATATTATTAAATATAATAATTATAGAGTCACCGCTCGAGTGCAAAGGGCTAATTACCAAAATATAAATGCCTTTCGAGTCAACGTTCACAGCTGCCATTACGAGTACATATTTCATAAGAGTCGACGTTTTCGCAAGCTTCCGAATACCAAAAGTCATTAAATGAAAAACTTGTAAACAAAGCCGGACAATTTGGGAAGAGATACGATTATTCGAGATTCGGGGCCCATTTTTATAGTCACCGATTGTCAACGATTATAAAAACACGGTGCAAAGCCGGAAAATAATCGTGTCTCCTGTTCCCGAATTGTCCATTTTTCTGCTCAATCCAAGCGTCAGTTAGGGAAACATTAATGTAGTCTCCGTTTATCCGTCCGTCCCGTCTCTCGTTCCGCTTCTTCGTTCCTCCGTTCGCGAAAAAAGTCGAAGCCCGTTGCGCAATTCGCTCGCGTAAACCGCGCGCCGCGATAACGCTTCCGTCGTCCGCGAGACGCAAATGCGGGGCGAAACGCCTCGAGCCCGTGACAAAGTTGCACTTGTGAGGCCGTCTCAGCCTTGACCGTCGCGTCGTTAAATAAATTAGCCGATCCTGCGTCGTCGCATTCGGTCGTATCTTCGGGGCAACACGGATTTTCCATTGGCACACCGACGTCTCATAAATCCCGAGGGCGCGCGGGCCGCTCTATCGGCCGGCCGGAACCCTTTTTTATTCCCCGGGATCGGGCCGTCGTAAACTAAACGTAATTAGAGGTCGTCGCTGGCAACATTAATTCTGAGAGCGCGCCGCGATCATTTCTATCGCGTCGGATCGTTCGTTTCGACGGCTTCGTCGATCCTCGCGCGCGACGAAACGTCGGTTCGCGTGCACCCTTCTCGAAAAAAGTGAAATACAAAAATGTAACGGCGACCATCGCACGCTCTTTATTCTCCGTTCTCCGCGAGCGCCGTAAAGGGAACGATAAAGCGTGTAACGGCAGCACTTTTTCGAATGAAACACCGTCTTTTGCTTACGTTTCACGAAGCCTCCACGTAATTCGCCTCGAATCGGGGAATAATATAAGAGAAGATTAATTGTCGCGATTACGATTTTACGCGTCGGCTTCGAGAAACACGCGAAACGACCCGATAAACGTCCTCTTAATCGTTCCGGCGACGTTCTAGCGGCGGAACGCCGACCGTTTCGTTCGCGTCCGCGAAAAATTTAACGATCGCGAGACAATAATCCGTGCGGAAAGGCGATTTTCAACCGTGGCGCACGATGTTGTCTTTATCGCGAAGCTGGGCAATTTAAGCTCGCGACGCTCGAAGATGCTGGAGGATCGACGGAACAAGTATTATCGACTTTTTGAAAAACGCGCGACGAATCTCCACGAAGTTTTGCGACCGTTGCAATGGTAATTACAGTAAATTCTCCGGAATTTTTTTTTAGCTTGTAAATAAAAATTTTGGACGATTTGGGAAGTGGAAACGCGATTATTCGAACCTCGCGGCTCAAAACGCGTGACAAATCTCGCGGAGTTTTGCGACCGTTGCAATGGTAATTACAGTAAATTCTCCGGAATTTTTCTTCAGCTTGTAAACAAAAATTTCAGACGATCTGGAAAGCGGAGACGCGACTATTCGAGCCTCGCGGCTCATTCTCGTGTCAACAAACGATTGTCGACGCTTACAAAAACAAGGTACAAGGCTCGAATATAATCTGCTCTTATCTTTGTTTACAAGCTGAAGGAAAATCGAGGAAAATCGACTGCGATCGCACGGAATAGAATCTGAATTGTTTACGTAACTGCGAAGTCGCGTTCCGCTCGAAAATAACGTCGCGGCGCGGCGGTTCAAGATTTTCGTACCGGGACAGGTCACGCGCGGGGTGATAGTGCTCGATGAATAATTTACGCGAACGAGTTTTGAACCGGTGAATTAATTAAACGAATTTCTAATTATAATTGAGCGGGGACGCGGGTGGGTGGTAACGGACCTAACAATGAGAAATATGCAACGCGCGCGTCTTAATAATTCAGCACGGCTTAAAACAGTCCTCTATACCTGCCATTATGCCGGCGAGGGGACGGAAGTTCATGCCGTGCGCGGACACCGATGCCGAGGGGTTAATTATAAATAAGCTGCACGCGGAGGAAAGTAGGAACAGTGTACTTTTACCTCGCCGCTTTTGAACAGCGATTGGTAATGATAGCATAAACGCCTCGCTCGAGAGACGCCGCGCGACCAACGGCGTAATTTTATCGTTAATTTTACATCGAACGAACGGACAAACTGCAGCAATGTCTCTCTAATCGACGCTCAGATTGGAACACAAAGATGGAGAATTTGAGAAGAGGAGATACTATTATTCGAGCGTTGCGGTTCGTTTTTATAGTTGCGAATTGTCAACAATTATAAAAACAACTACAAGAACGAGTTGCACATTACTGTGCAGCAATGTTACTCTAATCGACGCTCAGATTGGAGCACAAAAATGGAGAATTTGGGAAGAGGAGATACTATTATTCGAGTCTTGTGGTTCGTTTTTACAGTTTTCGAATTGTCAATAACTAGAAGAACGAGTTGCAGGGCTCGAATAATCGTATCTCCTCTTCCAAAATTGTGCATTTTTGTGCGTAATATGAGCATCAGTTATGCAGTCATTACTGCACAGCAATGTCTCTCTAATTGACGCTCAGATTATCCACAAAACTGGAGAATTTGGGAAGTGGAGAAACGATGCGGTTCATTTTTATAGTTTTCAAATTGTCGATAACTAATAAGAACGAGTTGCAAGGCTCGAATAATCGTATCGACATTACTGTACAGCAATGTCTCTCTAATTGACGCTCAAATTGTCCACAAGAATGGAGAATTTGGGAAAAGGAGATTTGAGTCTTGTGATTCGTTTTTATAGTTATCGAATTGTCAACAACTATAAGAACGAGTCGCAGGGCTCAAATAATCGTATCTCTTTTTCCAAAATCGTCCATTTTTCTGCAGAATCTAAGCGTCAGTTAGGGAGACATTACTGTATAGCAATGTCTCTCTAATCGACGCTCAAATTGTCCACAAAAGTGGACAATTTGGAAAGAGGAGTTACTATTATTCGAGCCTTGCGGTTCGTTTCTATAGTTGTTGACAATTCGAAAATTATCGAGTAATACAAGTAATTCGAGTAATCAAGTAATACACGAATTGGATCGTTTATTCGAGGACAAATTAGACCATCGCCTTCTTTCAGATTCATGATCGCACCATTCTCAAAATTAGCGAATTGCATGATCCATCGAATTTCAATTACAGTAATGTCTCTCGAATTGACGCTCAGGTTGTCCACAAAAATGGAGAATTTGGGAAGAGGAGATACGATTATTCGAGCGTTGCGGTTCGTTTTTATAATTTTCGAATTGTCACCAACTATAAAAACGAGCCGCAAGGCTCGAATAAACCAAATTGACCATTATCGTGGACAATCCGAGCGTCGGTAAGGGAGACATTGCTGTACCGAGTTTGTCTGCGATTCGAAGATGCCCGGGTCCGATAGCGTTAATAAGGATAATTAGCGATCGAGTAATCCCGAGGCGGACGAATATCGAGCATCGACAGGGACAGCATCGATTTCATAAAACGCGAAGACGGAAGTCTTTTCCGAGTCGACACGTAACGATTAGAAGCATCGGATAACGTCTGTTTAACCACCGAGAAGCCAGGATTTGCTTCGTCATTACGCCGATGTTCGAGGAAAACGCGAATTAAACTCGCCGCGCCAGTCGCATCGCCGTATTTCCGTCTTTTATTCGTTTCTGATGTATTCGGTTCTCTGCTAGCTTAGGCTCGTTATTACGATCGGCCGTCTGTTATAAAAAAAAAAAACAGAAAAAAATTTTATTCTTTACATAATTGAGTCGACTCGTTTCCGAGAACGCTCTCTGCAAAAAACGATACGATTTTCCGACCGGAGTTGGCAGTGTTCCGCTTGTGTTCGCATCAAAATGATTGAATTGCAAGAAACCAGAATCCGAGCGAACGTTTATCTTGTCTCGTAACAGTTCAAAAAATCGTGAACCGGCGTTAACAATTTTGTAATTTATCTAGCCGTTTCTGTCACGAGCGCACGAGACCCGCAATCTTGTTATTAGCGAATCGGATTCAAAATAAATGCACCGTTTAATAGAACCGTGATGCTGTATTCGAACGGGTCAAATAAAATTGGTGTAACGAAGATACTGTCACAGCCGATGTAACCGGAACATGATTTATTTCAATTGTAAACACCGCGGCGCGATAATGGTGTAAAATAACAAACAAAATGAGAAGTTCGCGAAATCAACGGAACGTCCAAATAACGAGTTAATTTCCCGTTATCTTCCCGTTAACACCAGATTTACGGAGCACAAAAAACAGCTGTTTTATATTAATAAGACATTTTATTATTATTATTATTATATTAATAAGACATTTATTTTTATCAGTAAGACATTTGTTCCGATTTTTAACAAGTGTTATTGCAACATTTTCCATAAGTAACATATAAATTGGATGAAAAGAATTAAGAAACGAGTGAACCGTCATTTTGACGTGTTCCATAAATCTAGCGTTAATTATGGTGCCAATTGAGCTTGTTTCGCAGATTTCCCCAACGTCCCTAAGAACAATCGTTAACTTTGGAACTACCAAATCGGTCAAAACGACTGGTTTCTGATTTTCTCTTCTACAATTCCCGATATCATAAAAATATTTGTAGGAGAAATTTTGATGTACACTTCTTTACTCAAGCATACATTATAATATAAATCGCACTAAGCCTTCTTGGCATCGCTATAAAATAATATACGATTACTCGCGTTTATTTAATTAGTCGTGCTTTATACAATTAATCGGCTCGGTAGTTCCGGCATCAAAATTACTAATTTCTGATTTTTTCTTCTATAATTCCCGATATCACAAAAATATTTCTAGGAGAAATTTTGATGTACACTTCTTTACTCAAGCATACATTATAATATAAATCGCACTAAGCCTTCTTGGCATCGCTATAAAATAATATACGATTACTCGCGTTTACAATTAGTCGCGCTTTATACAATTAATCGGCTCGGTAGTTCCGGCGTCAAAAATCGCGGTTGTTAAATCGTTCGCCGCGTATTCGACTTCGAAAACGGCCGGCGAGCTAACCGCGCCCGCCTGAACAAATGATTATTGCTCGCGCCGTGTACATACTTCCTAGCGCGTAATTGGCGGGCTCATGGGGTCAAGTGGATCACGTTGATAATCGCAAACTTCGACCTTTAATTACCGTAGGATCACGGGCCGGCAACGATGATGGCTCGGCAGACGACGCCGGACGAATAAACAGCGCAAGCACGGCCGCGGCTTTCGATTTGTTTACGAAGCCGGGCAGACAGCAACCGTACGAATATGATACGGAAAGCGTTGAAAATATTGGGTTGGCAACTAAGTAATCGCCGATTTCGGTTATAGATGTCTCTCACTCCCGTTTTTATGATATCCGTAAATGTTATATTATAAAATTATTGTTATTATTATTATGTTATTTTTTATTATCCGCGAATGTTAGCAACTGGACAGATTGAATGCAGCGGTCAAGGAAAAGCGACCGGAATTGGTCGATCGTAAAGCTGTCATTTTCCAGCAAGACAATGCTAGGCCGCACGCGTCTTTGTCCACTCGGCAAAAATTGATGGATATTGGTTGGGAATCGATGTTACACCCACCGTATAGCCCTGATCTAGCGCCATCGGATCACCACTTATTTCGATCCCTGGACAACTCCCTTCGTGGTAAAACTTTTAACGACGACGACGCTGTAAAATCTCACTTAACTCAGTTTTTGGCCGAAAAGGATCAGACTTTCTACGAGCGTGGAATTTTCAAGTTGTCGGAGAGATGGCAAAAGGTCGTCGAACGAAATGGAAAATACATTACAGATTAAACTTCGTTCTAAGTAAAAAGAAATTTTTATTTCATTGAACAAATCGGCAATTACTTAGTTGCCAACCCAATAATATCTCGAGAGCGTTTCGGTCTACGCCGATCTGCGCGCAACGATCTAATAATAATCAACTTTCATAGTTATTATTTCACTTTTTTATTTGCTTATTTGGTTTCTTGAAGTTTCATCTGCGGGTTTTTAAGTCGGTGTTAAGAACAATGATAGTTTTCGTCGGTTTACGAAGCGTTGGATTTTTAACAATGAACCTATTGTCGCTGGTCGAACGAGTAATTCTGGTTTATGTTAGAAGTGTTGAACCAAATGAATGTATTCGTTCAAACGTAATTTTGTCTAATTTCATTTCGTCGAAATGTAAAAGGATCAGACTTTCTACGAGCGTGGAATTTTCAAGTTGTCGGAGAGATGGCAAAAGGTCGTCGAACGAAATGGAAAATACATTACAGATTAAACTTCGTTCCAAGTAAAAAAAAAATTTTTATTTCATTGAACAAATCGGCAATTACTTAGTTGCCAACCCGATAGAACGGACGACCGCGCGAAAGAAAAATCGGGTCCTCCGGGGGATCGATGGAGCTCCGATGGAAAAACGTTCGACAACCGCCTCCGCGAAAGGGCCGACTTACCATTTGTTCTTGTTATTCTCTTCGGCGACGGCCATTCGATGCCTGGTTGTCTCGTACACGTCGTCGTTCGCCTGTATCCGCATTTTACACGGCAATGCGCCAAGGCTCTCCAGACTCCTGGACAGGGAAAAAATACGCCGATAAGCAAGTCGATAAACCTAAGTCGGCTGGGAACCGATCGGCGACGCCTTCGTTTCCGCGGCGACGCCCGATCGAGCCGGAACATCGACAATTCGGCACGTTCGCCGTGCCCGTTAACCCTTGCGTTCGCGAAAGAAGCGATTCGAACCCTTTCGATGCTTAATTTATAGATCTTGCGAGCGGGAGTCGCGTTGTTTAACCGCTTGGGTACAGATTTATTTGAAAAAATTCTTGCGTTTGGAACTGATTTAATTTGCCGATGCTCGGAATGGTATATAAAGGCAGTAAGTAATTAGTAGTAATTAGAACTAGTACTGATTAGTAATTAGAGGTTTGAATGACGAATCAGGGTCGTCATTCGTAACTTAGGCAAAAGAAGTGAACGATGAGTCTAGGTCGTCAAATGTACCCAAGGAGTTAAGGGAGTATAGTAAATTCTCCTTAATTGTCCCTTAGCTTGTAAGCAAAAATGGACAATTTGGGATGAGGAGAAACGATTATTATATTTTTATAGTTATTGTATAGGTATCATTTTTAGTAGTTAGTAGTCAACGATTGTAGTAGTTATCGATTGTCAACAATTATAAAAACGAAGCATCTCAAATTGTCCATTTTTGTTTACAAGTTGAGGGACAATTGGGGAGAATTTGCTGTGCTCTGGTGCGAACCTTTGAAAAAATCGATTCTTTTACATTTTCTTGAAGAACGTAGTCCCAAAAATATGCCCACAAAACTATAAGTCTGAATTCTTAACCTTGACAAAGTTATAGTACGATATTCGAACCAATCGAAAATCCTGATTTTTTAACATTTCTTTCACTTTGACCGAGTTGAAAAAAAAAATGCAGCTTATATATATAACATTCATCACGTTTTTGGAGCTTTAAGAAAACGAAAAGAAGGCAATCGATTTTTTGGCACAGTTAGGGCAGAAACACGCTTACAGGCAATGCTCGGGTCGTGCTCGATTCGGACAAGTAACGTGCCAGACAATTCTCCTCTCCCGAAATTCTCCACTCTCGTTCGCAAACCGAAGGACAATTGGGGGGAATTTACTGGGCGAACCGTACCGTGGCTTGCCCGTGTAAGCCTCGTGCATCGGCCCTTAGGGTGGTGTGTCTATCGTTCGATGAAAAAAGAACAACAAATGACTCGACCACCCTGCAGGATGAGACACGGCGCGCGCGCGAAGAGGAGGCGTCGAAAGAGAAAACGAAGATAAGGATACGCTGAAAGGCGAACTGGAAACATGCGAATGTGACTCACTTGGGGCCGGTCTGCTGGACGCACTCGAAGCTACCCTGAGGACCCTCGATGTCCTGGTTGCCGGAAAGGCTGAACGTGAAGCCCGCCGTTCCATGGCTGGATTGCGTGGATGGAAATGAGAGTTGCTGGAATCAGAACAGCCGTCCGTTAGACTCGGCGCGCGCTTTCATGCCGCTAATAAGGTCGCATTAAATTACGAAACTGCTTATGGTGTACCTGTCGTGCACGTGACACGGCACGTCATATACCCATTCTCATATATACCTATCGCCGCGGCGGACCGGCTACCGATCCCGCCGCGCCGCGCGGCGCGTGTACATGGTGGCCGGATACACACGCGCGCGTATGTATCCCGGCCCTGTTCATCTATCCACTTATCCGTCCGTACGTCTGTCCGAACCTTTCAGTGGGAATCGTAAACAGGGTTTAGTGCTCCTCGGGTTCGAGCGATTTATTCGAAGATACTATTACCCTCCTCTTATACCGTTTGATCTTTGATCGCGGCTGCCGCGCGCTCGCCGATTCGCAATTGCCGTGAGAATTTCTGCGCCTATGGATTTTAGGGTGTTCCGATACCGCCGCCGCAAAGAGGCTCTCCCGCAAAGTGCGGCCGGCACGGTGACCTACAGAATGAATACCGGCTGTTTCGCATCGCTAATTGTTTCGCAATTCTTCGCGGTGCCCGTTTAACCCTTGCAGCGCCGATACTGTATCGTTGCGCACGAGCGCTCGGATCACTCGGTTACTTAATTATAGAGCCAACCGAGTCATAGTTAACCGATTTGCGTCGTTAGAGTGTGTACGCGCTTAATTTGTTTTAGATTGTAACGAGTTCGTCGGGAAAACGAGAAAGCACCGTTTGTTTGTCAACGGATTTTATGCGGATTTTATGCATTTATGGCAAAATTGAATTAACGAAGTTAGCTGTGGCGTCTCCTTTTCATTCTTTATTGGAACAAAAAGACGGCTTTGTTTTGTCAAGTTAACAATTTTGTTACTAATGGTTACTTACTCAGTTAACATTAACATATACTGCATAAACATCTTGAAATCTGAGAATATGGTTTTGTTTTCATTAAAATTATAATTTAAATGGTCGTTACTTTTTATGCACGACGAGTATACTTTGCAAAACTGTGAAGAGCTTATAAGAATTTCAAGATATTGTTACATTATTTTCAACTTATTGCTATTATCAAAAGTGTGAAGACGTGTTTATAATTTGTTGTTTAAATATATATTTAAATTATAAACAGAAATTATAATATACGCATATATACATATATAATAATAATAACATATGTATAATATATAATAATACAAAAATATATATTTTATAATTTATATAATTTATGTAAAAATTTATGTAATATATATATATATATATATATATAAAATAATTATATATATTATAAAGTATATATTTTTTTATTATTATATATTATACATATGTTATTATTATTATTATATATATATATATATATATATTATATTTTATATTATATTTATTATAATTTACATAATTTAT